CTTTGAGCCGGCTGGTGCTGGCTCCATCGGACATGGGGGAAGCTTCTGGCAGCTTCTCACAGAAGCCACCCCTGTAGCCCTTCTATTATACATTAACCAAGAGTGAACTCCAATGTGTATACTTAGATAGAACAAAAAAGTATTTCTCTGCCTAAGACAGAATGACCATCCTTGAGGCTGTCAAAATTGATGAGGGGAGGAATTCCCAATCAGGAGTTTTGCCTGGCCTTGAAGGAAGTAAAGTCTTGGAAAAACTTAAAACAAAATGTATTAAATCAGTATGTTCAGAGTAGTCAGCAAGAAGAGTGATTCACCCTGTCCTTACCTGAACTACCCTCATTATAATACTAAAAATCACACTTTCTAACTAAAAGACCCCAGCCCGCTCAGAGACCCTTCCCCAAAAAGCATGCATAGTATAAAAATGCTATATAAGCAATATGTAAATAAGCTGAGCAATCCTGGTGATGGAGGTTGTGCTGGGGTCGTGGTCTGATGATAAGAACAGGATATAAGCTGTCACAAAAGAACACTGGGTGTGCTTGATTTGTGGGAAGCCACCGAGCACCCAGGATTGCGCAAACCTGAAATAAAACAAGCAACGTCTCCCTGAGTGTACGGAAACCGGCTTATTGCACACCAGGCTACGAATCGCTTTTCAGACAGCACCGCTGCTACCAAAACCTTGCCACACAAACCCAACACACGATAGCAGCAGCACAGCTATAACGCTTTCCTACTTTGCACCAGAATTTCAGCTTCATCTCATGGCTGGGCTGGTGCATGCGAGTCACCAAGAGGGACCCCCCCAGGAATCCCCGCATGCTGCTGGTCCCCATCCCCGCCCAGCAGCCTGCAGAAACACACGGAGCTGCAAGAGCGTGGCCGCCGGATCGATGCCTTCTGCCCCATCGGGTGGTCCGGTGTAGGGCTGGAGCCCCAGGGATGCCCTCAGCCCCACCTGGCAGCAGCATCCAGGTGAGCAGAGGCAGGACCCCCATGGGCAGGCTGGCCTGGACCAGGCATCAGGGCAGCCCTCCTGCCCCTCACGCCCCTTCTTCATTGTGTCTCTGGGGCTTTGCTTCCTCTTCTGCCTGGGATACCAAATCCGTTGCTCCCAGGGGTTTAGCAAGAGCGTGGGGTTTCTTGTTTCCTCTGCTCTCAGCTGACTTCCCTCCTCCCCTCTCACCGAGACCACTGCCGGGTACTGTCCCTGAGCCCTGCTGCCCTGCTTCTGCCCCCCTGGCTCCTTCCCCTGCCCCAGGGGCTCCCCTTTCTGCCCCC